ATAAGTCTCCAATGCTACCTGGACGACATCATCATTGAGTCGTCGTCCAGGCGGCAGGCCTTCCGGGACCTTCAGATTACTATGCGGACCCTCAGAAACCACGGGTTCTCACTGAATTTAGAAAAGAGTCACCTTACCCCCACGACCAAGATCAACCATGTGGGGGCGGTGATAGACACCATGTCCTGCAGGGTATTCCTCTCCCAAGACAGGTTAGAGGCCCTCAGGTCCATGACCCACACGGTGATGCAGACAAGGCAGGTGCCGATTTTTCTCCTCTCCCAACTGTTGGGGAAGATGATCTCCTGTCTGTCGATCGTTCCCTGGGCTCGCCTCCACTCCAGGGCCCTGCAGTGGCTTCTTCTATCTCACCAGAGAGCCAGCAGGAGCAACTCTGCAAGGCTAATTCCTGTGCCTCAGACTGTGAAGAGGTCCCTCCGGTGGTGGACATCTCCCACACTCCTCAAGGGACACCTATTCAAGGAGCCCAACCGGCTGGTCATCACCACCGACGCCATGCTCGCCAGCTGGTGAGCGCACATGGGACGTCTCGTGGTTCAGGGCAGGTGGTCTCCAGCGGAGTCGCATTGCAGCATCAACTTTCTGGAGCTGCGAGCTGCAAGGTTGGCCCTTCGTCACTTCCATCGGTCCATACGTCACCGCCATGTCCTATTGATGACGGACAATGTGGCCATGAAGGCACACATCAACCGCCAGGGCAGCACCAGGTCCAAAAGACTGATGGTGGAGGCAGAGGCCCTAGGACTCTGGGCAGAGCGATACCTGGAGTCGATCCGCTCCAACCATATCTCTGGCAGGGACAATACACAGGCGGACTAGCTGAGCAGGACCCAACCATCAACTCCGTGGAATGGCGGCTGGACCCTTCTCTCTTCCATCAACTGTCTCGCAGATTCGGACTTTCAAAAGTCGACCTCTTTGCGACCAAAGACAATGCTCAACTACCACGCTTCTTTTCCCGCTTCCACTCTCCGGGAGCCAAGGGAACCGACACCCTTCGCTGAAGCTGGCCCCGGGGCCTTCTCTATGCATTTCCCCCTCTGCCTCTCCTTCCACATCTTCTACACAAGATCATAGAGGAGAGGGCGGAAGTGCTTCTCATGGCGCCCCATTGGCCCTGGAGGTCATGGTTCGCCAACTTAGTCAGCCTATCGGTGTCCCCGCCGTGGCGGATTCCCCCAGATCAGGTCTCCCTCAGCCAAGGGGCCATTGTCCATCTGGAGCCCCAGTGGCTTCAGTTGGCCATCTGGCACCTGAGGGTGACCTGCTGAAGGCTGAAGGACTGTTGGAAGGCGTTGTCAGTACCATCCAAGCTGCTCGGCATCCCTCAACAACGAGGATATATGACTCTACTTGGGCTACCTTCGCCCAGTGGTGCGAGGACTTA